CGTTCAAAATTATTTGTTCTTCTAAAGCGTATGCGGCTTTGATAATCTAAAAAATTTACTAATGGTTGTACGCAAAAATTTGTGGTCAAACTTTAAACCTAAGCTTACATGAATATCTTTAAGAACACTCTTCCAGTTGCTAAATTGTTGCTGTAGCTTAAACCAACTGAGCGTTTCAGCTGCGTTGATTGACAATTGGTTGTAACCTTGACTTTGGTACAACGATGAAAATAAGTTAACTTTAACAATTCACCTAAATATAATGCTTCAAGGTTGCTGCCTGTGTAGTACCATAGTCTCACGTCAACAGAAATTTTTTTTCAGATATAAGAAAATATATATTAACACAAGAAGTTTTGATACTCAATTTAAAAATTTTGAATTGTTATTTTTTCTCTTCGATTTTTTTCTCTTCTACTTTAAAGCTTTTGTTTCATTTCGAGATCCAAATTTCAGCTCGATTTCCTGGCAGTTTTGGGATCTGTTTTTGGGATCGTACCAATTTTTTTCGGAACACAACTCTCGCAAGCACAGTGAGTCTTGTTTACAAAGGTCTCTCAGCATTGTTCTTGAAATTCGCAAGTTGATTCTGTGCTGTTTTTGACAAATTCTCCTCTATTTCCTCGTCTGTTAGTAATTCTTTAACCGGGCGTCCTTCTAGATCCCCAAATTCTGTTGTTCCCTGTTTTGATTGAGTTTTGCAGTTCTCATTACATCCGATCCATCCAGACTCGAGTCTTTTGAAAACCCTCGAGGTCGGTCGAATTTTGAATTTTCTTTTTTTGGCTCGATGTTTCTTGTTTCTTGAAATCTCCTCTGCTATCTTCTGCATTTCTCTCGTGAGCACTTGATCTGCCTATTTTTTCCATGCTTTCATCGACAAATCGTGATACCAAAATGCGTTTACTATTTCCTGCGGCTTTTTGTATCTGTCTACTTTCTTAAATTTTGCCTGCTTCTGCTTTGAACCCAAAATTTTTGGCGTTGGTTCGTATTTTCTTCTGGTTTATAGAGATAACAGTTGTTCTGTCACTTCTGTCACTTTCTCATGATTCGCTGCTTAGACAACCTTTTGTCTTCTGGGCTCTGCATTGTGATTTTTTTCTCCTCCTCTTGCATTACTGTTCGCTCCTCAATATTCTGACGTAATTCAGACGTTGGTCCGACTGCAGTAGTGCTTTGCCTTTGGCTTAGGTTTCATTAGCTCTCATTGATGCTTCTGTTCTTTTTTACATAGTTTTCGGTTCATAGTAAGACTTTTGTTCTTGGTAAGGCTTTCAGTAAGGTTTTCGTTCGAACTCTGTTTTGGTTCTGCTGGTAGGTTTGTTGCTTTTCCGATTTAATGCCATTTTCTCCTATTTCGCTGAACCTGTTTTTTTTTCAATCGTTTCGTCAGTGCTTTGCGACTCTTTTTATTTTCCTTGCTCATTATAATTATTTTTCACCTTTATTTTTGTTGGGAAATTAATTTCAAAAATCAAAGTCTAAAAACACTTTTTTTTCTTCATTTTTTGACCATTTTTTTGGCCGAAAATCTGTAAATCGGCGTTAAAAGAGAGTCGGAAGATTCAATAATTTGTTTAAAACTTACCGACAAGAATAAGTAAAAACTAGCACAGTCTTCCTAAAAAGTTTATCACGGATTATTGAGCAGTTGTTTAAAGAAATAATTTCTTTCTAAATTGTTTCAGTTTTTCATCTCTACCTGACTTGGTAAAATCAAAATGTTCAGGATGCATAAAAACTGCTAAAAACTAATAGATTATTTTCTTAGCAAGTGCTAAATCTCTTTTGATATCTAATTTAGCACTTGCTAAGATATCGATTATACCGGGGTTGACCTCCAAAGACAAGAAAAGCTAAACATAAAATTTGTTCAACAAAATATATATATATATAAATGTTGACTTCGACAACTTCGACAAATCAACTAGATGACCATATTATTACAATGCTCTTTTATCGGCAGATCTTTCCAGTTACAAAATTTGCATGAAGTTGCATTATGTCAAAAACCCGAATTATGTCAGAAACTGGAACATCAAAAGTCAGTTGCGCAGCTTCAGAAGTTTCCTGCGGTCCAAAACTTTGAATTTTTTTTTCCATTTTATTGTAGGTTTTATAACTTAATGAAGATGAATGAACAGCGAACCTGAATTTGGTAAACAGAAATAAAGAAGTAAACCGAATAAACTTTGGAATTTTAATTGGAACTGTTTGGCTCTCTTTTGATATCTAATTTAGCACTTGCTAAGATTTCGATTATACCCGGGTTGACCTCCACAGACCAGAAAAACTATACATAAAATTTATTCATCAAAATATATATAAAAATGTTGAGTCATAAAAATGTTGTGCACTTTTGCAATTAAATGCGCGAGTTTCGTCATATACAAAAATGAAAAAAATTTTAGGCAAAAAACTCTAATTAAACAATTTTTATGAAATAAAACTGTATGATTAGCATTTTCCTGATAGGCACGCTAAAATTTTTATAAAATAGTTGAAAAAATACCCCTGAAGCAAAAATATTTTCATTTCAAATCCAAAACAAGTTTTTTACTTATACAGAAAACTTTTTCCATTTATCTGCATGCAAAATTTAATCGCGATTACTTATACGTAGTCGAGATTACACAAAAATTAGATTAATTTAAGGCATTATTTGACATTTTTTTTGAAAAAATTTCATGAATGAAGAAAAGCATATCATGGATCTTTTATGCAATTTGCTGTACAAATGGAAATGCATCAAAATTTTCTAATTGGCATTTTTCGTTTCATGAAAGTTGCATAGATAGCGTTTTTAGTCATCCTGGGTATACATTGAAACCAAGATTTTGTCCGACTAAAATCAAAAAGTATATATGAATTTACGCTAAGCGCAGTGACAGACAACTACTCATAGTTTTTGGTTTTTCAATTAATGCTCCATTCAAAATTTAAAAATATAAATTTGCAACTACCCGGGTTGACCTTCATAGAAAAAAAAATGCTTATCATACAGTTCCTGACAAAAACAAAATGCTTATCATACAATTCCATGCATGGGTTTTACGGAAAAAAATGTTTATCATAGGATTTCCATTTATGAAAATTGTATGATAAGCTTTTTTTGTTGATTTTTTTTCAGGAAAACCTTTAAAAAGAATTTTTTTGTAAGTTTAAATGAGCTTGATTCGTTTTCTGATTAAGTTAGATCAAATTGGCCCATTTTTTTCATTTTTTTGACAAAAAATGTTTATCATACAATTTTCATTCTATGGAAATGGTATGATAATCATTTTTTTATAAACAAAACTTTAGCCGCGACACAAAAAGTTTTGAAAATTTGCCCCATTTTTTTTTTCAACCGCAAATCGAATTTTTTACGCAAACAAACATTTTTCGAAAATTTTTTATTCCTATTTCCTTTGTATGGCGTGTTTATGTATGCCCTGATCAATGTCTGATATTTTGAAAATTCAAAAATTTAAAATAATCATCGTTGAAAAATTTTTCCAAAAATTAAAAGTTTTTTAATTTTGTTATATCAATTGTGAACGACAGCTCGACAACACTTTAGGTCGTTTTCTATGCCTTGTAAATGCAAGACCGTCCAACCTTAGCTGCTTTGAGTAAGCAAGGTCTTTGTCACTTGGGTTCGGTTGCAAACAGAACCCAAATTGTTTCAGAAAACAAAATTAGAAACAAAAAACAACTTTTTGGCTTGAGGCGAAAACACCTATCAAACAATTCCAATTAATGGAAAAAATGGCTATCTTACAATTCCATTGTATAGAAAAAATGGTTATCATGTGATTTTCATACGATTTTTTTATTCTATGGAATTGAGTGGAACCGAATGATAAGCATTTTTTTCCATAATATGGTATTGTATGATAAGCATTTTTGTCATATTGGGTAGATCAGTTTTTTTCAAGATTTTAGAAAAATAATGTGTTTAAAAGAATCACAAAAAAAATTTTAAGCTGATATTTTAGACAATAACTAATTAAAAACTGAAAATTAAAGTAACATTTTGTGCTTTGATAGCATAGATTTACAAAAAAAATCACTTAAAAGTAATAATCAAAAAGTTTAGGCTACAGAGATAAGTAACAAAAACTAAAAGAAAAATATACATTGAATTTTTCAAAAAAACTCGGTATGGATATATGGGCCAATAGATAAATCACACTTTTTACCGCATAATTTTTTCTTTTTACGTACCGTTTTTGGTAACATATTGAAGTTTTATTATTTGTGATTGGAAGTAAAAAAAAAGATTTTGAAAAATCACTGAGTGTCGAGATAAATTGGTTTAAATTTTTCCTCTTTTCAGTTTGCTTTCCAGCTGAGGATTGTTTATCCCCTATCAAACTAGTCCTAAATCTCAAGCACTTTTTAAAATTGATAAGAGTTTACTTTCGCTAATTTTTAGTACATGTTTTTGGTTATTCTATAAATAAATATTTTTTGCAAAATCAACTGAAATGGGATCCTTATGTTCAACTTGTACAGCAGCCGTCTAATCTTTTTTAAACTTTTAGTTTTAATATATGTTTTTAGAAAATTATTGTCACAAGTGAGCTTACGCGATCCTATACGGCGTGTCTACTAAAAGTGGAAGCTATAAGTTAGAAATCAGTACATAATTATTCATGTGACGAATAGCAAAAAATATCATATGCTACCCACCTTCCTCCTACACACCCCAACGCAACCCCTATAGCGACCCCCCTCTAATAAATGCAAATTGTTTTTAAGTTAAACGCTAGAAAAGTTTCACATGATAGACATATAGTAAACGCGGAGAAGCAATTACCAAATGCACTAAAAAAGATGGAAAATTGAAACAGTTTATAGAAAAACAAACTAAAACTGGAAAAATTTCTCTTCTTGAATCAAAAAGCATAAAAGCAAAGTGTTCTCAAAAATATTAACTAAATGAAATATATTGAAAATGAAATGCGCAACTATTTTTCAAGAAATTTATCTTTCTGGACAAATGAACTTACAGATTTTGATCAGCGGCATTGTTTGAAGTGATATTGGACACATTAGAAGTAACATAAGTTGAATTGCTCGAAGCCATCTGAAGTTTTTGAAATTTAAGAAAAAGGAAAGAAATTATTTTCAATTTTTTATATTAGTTTCAAACAATTATGGAAACTAGAACTATACCATTCAAAGGGAGTGTTGAATTTTTTCAGTGGGAGTGTTTAAAATACTTTTTACCCGTTTGAAATGTAACTAAATTATGAGGATGGAAAATAACGCCTATGAAACCAGCTGAACAATTCGTATTGTTTTTTCACTTTTCAGCAAATCAAGACAAACAAATCAGTTGCTTTTTTGTTTGTTCGATCGACGCTAAATTTTTGTGGCAAAAAAGCAAGCCTAAGCTTGGTTTTACAAAAACAAAATAAAACTAACCACTGGCGCGCTTAACGGGTTTGTTTTTTTTTGCGAAAAGCTTAAATGTGATTGGCTGAAAAATATACCTTGAAGGTATACAAAAATAAACCACCATTCGGCTGCTATGGTTTGAAAATGGTCAAAATTCAGATATCCATTGAATAAAAACGAAACAAAGTGAAGAAAAATCGGAACAATTATATATCTTACAGCAATTTCTGCTGTGGATTCTGATAAAAACAAGACAAAAATCAAAAAAGTCCGCATTTATTTGCCAAATATAAACAAATACAAAACAATTTAGTTTTTTATAAACTGAACGAATATTACAAGGCTCAGACAGGAAATTAAAAGTAGCTCCCTTTTCAATTAAATTTTTCACCTGGGGCGTATGCATTATCTTTGACCAGGAGTGGACATATCAAAATATTCATTTTCCTTCAATTTTTCTGAAGTCGATGGAAGGGGTTTTTCGATTAACATCCTGTTAATAAGTTTGAACCTATTTGCATTCTGTTTGAATTCTGAATTGCACCTATTTGAATTCTGTTTTACAAGGGGGGAGGGGTTCCAGAGTTAGTGTTGTAATTGTTTTCGAAGTTGGATGAAATTTCAGTTTCAGCTTTTCTTCCGAACTAAGTGTGAACAAGAATGAAGTAGATTAAAACTTTTAAATTTCTGTTCTGATATTAGTTATCATAGTTACAAAAAAACTAGTGAATCTCGAATTCAATTTGCATGGATTCGGTTTGATTCTACAAAATAGTCAATGTTAACAACAACCTATAGATTGCGTTTCCGGCCTCAGATCTTAAACTTGTTTACCTCAGCCCGATTTTATTTTTATGAGCCAAATTTTAGCGAAATATGGCTTTCAGAAAAATCTAAAATTTATATATGGAAAATTGAGATTTAAAGTAGAACCTTTACTCAATCGCTTTTTAAGGTTGTTTTACAAAAAAGATGCGACAATTATCATCAGCTTTTTTAAGTGCAGTTACCATTAAGATTTATAAGGATCAAAAAAATTATATTATCAGGTTATCTTAGATTATCAGGTTATTTTGTTTGCGAAGAAAAAAAGTTCTGAATTCAAGTGCCAAAATTGAAATTTTTTATTGCTATTGCCATCTACATGAAAATGTTTTTTTTAATAATTATTTTCTCAAAATTTTTTTGAATCAAGCTTCTCAAAATTTGAAAAACTCGCTTTTCATGAAACTTTTTTAAGAGCCTAACTAATTTTCTTAGAGCGTCACAGAATCAAAAACTATTTATCCAATCTATCTTATGAAAACTCAAAAAACTAAAATAGTTTTCATAAACTGCGTCAAGAGAAAGCTTTTAAATTTCATATCGTCATCAATGAAAAAATAAATACAGATGTTACTAATCCATTTTGCATTGCCGCAGGTGATAAAACCTTTATTAACATTTACAAACAGTTGCCATTGCGTCATGCAGCAAATCAAAGCAATCAGCATTTAATAGCAAAAAATATATAAGCAAGTCAAAAGAAAATGCGAAAAACGATTAACTTACAAAACGAAAATCTAAAAAAACGCCATCCGTCCGCACAGAATTATTTTAGAAAAACTTAGAAAAATAAACATGAGCATTCAGGTTAAAGTAAAGCTTGAAAAAAATCTTGAATTCAGGCATGTGATTACATAAGGACAAACTTTTGTGGAGCTTCCAATTAAATCACGTTAGAACAACAAGTAGTTTCACATGATTGAACGAGTGAATAACATGTGACACGCATTTTTCCCGAGTTTTCATCGGAACTTTGAAAAATGTCTTGTTAAAATTTAGATTTATCAGGAAAACTATTGACTGATTTTTTAAATTGCAAACAGTAAAACAGCTGCAGTTTGGAAAAGTTTCCAGTAATAATGTGCACCAATTGTGCGGATAACTAAACAATCTTTAAATGTTTCCTATTTTATTTATGAGGAAATCAAAGTTTCAATTTTAAGGTGAGCTAATTGTAAGTAGTTTTCAAAAAGTTGTGCAAATGAATAAAAAAATTATTAAAAACTCTGACCATAAAGCATTTTTGTGGTGTGCTAATATTGTAAGTCAGTTTCGAAAAAGTGCAAATGAATACTCTACTCTACCCTACTCTAACCACAAAGCAGAAATCAGATCTTTAAATAAAGAAATGTTTCAGGTAAATCTTTATAGGTAAATAGTTGATCTTGAAGTATAGAAATATAGCAATTACAGGTAGTGAAGGAAAAAATTTTTTTTGGTTCGTGTGATAATTGCTGTAACAAGCGTTTCGGTCAAATTAATGCGTTTTGGCCAAAAGAAGATATTCTAAGCTATTTATTATGAGAAAATTGGACTTTGAGAAGGTTAAATGACAGAAAGAAAAAGTTCTTCTTCAACATTTGTAACAACATTTGTAACATTGGAAATTGTTCTTCCAGTCGTTTTTAACAATCTTTATCGGTCAATTTAAAAAATCTTGTATAGCTAGAATCAAAACTCTACGCTGCTACAGTGTACAAATTCAAATCTCATTTGAACAACTTCAATTAATTTGTTTTATGAGTTAATCAAATTAAATGCAATTTGCGCAATTACCAGATTCAAAAATGATAGCTATAGAAACAAGAATGCTCGTATCAGTGCAAAGCCTTGAATGTTTCGACTGCATTTTAAGGTATATCGAGCAGTAATAACATTTAAAAAAATTAATGAAATAAAACAAAATGAAAAAAAAATTTTTTTTCTAAAATTTGAAATTTTTTATGAAAATCATCCCCCCACACGCCATATAAAGTACAAAAGGATAAAATTTGCTCCTTGTAACAAATCAATTATGGCAAATAAGCTTTTTTCAACCAATTAGGAACGTTTTTTAAGAGGGATTAACTCTCCGCTTACGCGTTAATAGCGCGAAATATATCGCGAGTTAATTGTCCCAAATTGGCCAAAATGGCAATCTTTAAACCCGCGTAACTTTACAAAAAACGGTCACAGGTAAATAATCTTTTCAAATTTGAGCTCAAGACAACAATACCTTTTGAATGAAATAAAAAATTCCGTCAAAAATGTCTAGTTAAAAAGTCGAAATTTGTCTGAAGAAAAAAAACCCACCCCGATCACAAATATTCCGTTACTTTCGTGTCGAAAGTCGGAACAATAACGTATACTCTCAAGCATTGAAATCGTCAAATAAGTACCAAGCAATCACAACGAATCAGTTGATTCAATTTTTTCAATAAAAAATGTTTATTCATTTCGTACAATATAATTTTCTGTTTCTTTTTTGGCTAGTAATTAATAAACTTTACTAACTTTTTGCGGTTGTCTGGACTTATAACTGCTGGTAAGTTTTGAGGTCAATATAAGAAAAAAAAATCAGATTGTGTGTCTGGATACATTCAAAAATGAACATCACAGTGAAAAAAGTTCAGCTCTGATTTCCGAAAACAAAATTTTTAAAAATTTTTTCTCTACAAAAATCTGGTTTCATTAAATAAAAAAACATGATATTAAAGCGAAATTAAGAATTGAACTCTTCGATAAGTTTGAAAACTAATTGGATGTCAAAAATATTTTTTTCTTGGGCTCACGAAGCCACTGATAAGAGTTTTGCTTACATATGTTTTTTTGACGAATTTTAGAAATATCAAGCTTCAAGTTAACATATTAAAACTTTTGAAAAATTGAATTTGATTTCTAAGAACAAAAAAAAAGATCTCAAGGCCAAGAAAATAGTTAGATTTTTTGGTTTTTGGATAAATTCGAAGCCCAATTGCCGCTTGTTTGCGTGACACATACATCATTATATAGGATTACAAAACCATTTTCTTACGGTCTGATCACGCTAGTTTTTGTTTTTTCAAACTTTGGTCAATCAATGTTTCGACTGTGCTCGATCTACGCTTCGATAATGTGTTAACTTTGCTTTGACTGCATGTAGCGACCTTTCCGACTATCATTTTTTTGATAAAATGAATTAACATCAGAGTGTAAGCCTTTCAGGTGACTTTTCATGACAATAGTTGAACAAAAAAATGCTTGAAAATTTGCAATTAAATGCTTAAAATGAAGTTTTATATTGCGGGAAATCTAATTTCTCAAAATCTTGAAAAATTTCTCCCTGAAACTTCTAATTTGATGTAAAGAATTTTTTTGCATTGATTGTTGTTGATTGCAACACTCTGATAGAGGTCTATTTTAAGAAATTTGAGCTGTCTTTAATTCAAAAAACAATTAGTTTTTCAACAAAGTTACTCAAAACAGCCAGTAACCAACCAACGTTCCTACTGTGCTTGAAAATTGTTTCGCTTTTCTGGCCCAGCATCAAGTGTCTATGTTTTCGACTTTGTGCTGGACTGCAAATAGCTTATCGACCGCAGACTTTCAATCGTAAAATTGCAAATTCTCGATGAGTTTTGGAGATGAAGCATAAGTTGACTGTCTCGACGCTGGCAAGCATAGAAGTTCAAGCTTATCGACCTGAATATTGTTGAGCATTCGAGGGAAACTGATTGAAATCCACCAATACTCCTGTTCTTGTACTGATCATATTCACAAAACAAAATTTTGCAGGTCGTTTTAACTAAAAAATAGCAAAAAATCATCTTTCAAAATGATGATGATTTATTCAACGTTTTTGACATAAGAAACCTGTTTTTTTTATTTTGAGTATTTTTTTGTACCGATTGTCAGCTTTTTTTCCTGTGTAGCTATTAAAAAATGTAATAACAACCTACACAAATTGTTTTATAATTTATTTTTAAAATGCATTTATAACCTACTGGAACCTGATCTAAACTATATTTTATGATTGGATAAATTAAATGTTTTACCAATGTAAAGTATTTAATATTAACCAATCATGATCCATCTAACTAACAACCCACTTATTTGTAAGTGCTGAAGTTACTTGTAATTTCAGCACCAGAGAGATTTGAATTTAACTTAGAAATTAGTTGGACTCTCCCGAGCACTTCAGCAGCCGCAATAAACCAGTATACCCTAGATCTATTGAGCCTAGCAGAG